TCATCAGTGTCGGAAGAGGGGGGGGGGGGTCTGATTTGTCAGATTTGCGTCCGTAAGTTTCGTTTGATGGGGTCTCCTGAGGCGTTTCTTCCCAGGGCCTTGTTGCGGTCCCAAGGCCCTCGCCCGTGAGACCCCAATGATGCATCCCCTGTTGCCCCGTGTTCACAGTTCTCATAAGTTGGACGTGATTCGCGGAGTATTGTTTTGTACCCAATGCGGCAGTCACGGGGTTGAGAATTCCGCGAACCTGAGCAGGCAATGCCCACCTTCCCCCTCCAAGTCGGGGAAGGAAGTGCTCAGTCGTCTGTCCAGGGGCCCCCCGCCCAAGAGTGGGGTCCCCTGGCCTCGTTGATGTGGTGAATCGTGCCCTGGCTTGACCAGGTCTCCACGCTTGCCCGACCCAACCCGACCCAATCCTCCCCCTCTCCCCTCCTCCCCCTCCTCCTCCTCCCCCTCCTCCTCCTCCTCCTCCTCCCCCTCCCCCCACCCCCCCCCCCCTCCTCGAGTCGCCTGCAGCCCGGGGGAAAACCGTGCATGGGGACTTGCCCCAGAGGAAGAGCATCGACTCCCGACCGCCCACTTCATCGCCAAATCGGGGCCTGGTCGCCCAAGCCTGCCCAGGAGCGTTAAGATTCCTCGTCGGGTTCTTCTCTGCGATGCTACGACGCATCGCCGATCCGAGCTCGGCGTCTGGTCAGGGCGCCTTCCAGGGCTAATTCCGTCGCAGAGCCTCAACACCTTCCTCGCGTTTTCGGGGGCTTGTTCAGGATGTGAGCGGGGGGATTGCGCGGCGTTCGCAGGGGGAGTGGGAGGATGAGGTTGACGAGCAAGAGAGGGAACGGGGGATTCTGATGTTTTTTTTTTTTTTTTTTTTCTACGTTGAAGACTTTGGGGTTGACGAGCGCAATGGCGATGATGAGGATGTCGATGGCAATGATGATGATGCTCATGGGAGGCAAACGACACGGAGAAGATGATGGTGAACGCATTCAAAGGGAACCAGGGCATCGTGAAGACGGGCCCCGCTCCTCGGGGGGCGCTGGAGAGAGCAGCACAGAAACTACTGGACGAATGCGAGAAGAAGTGACACCTCCACGGCTCAGCGCACACCAGAGGTTGATGCTACGCACCCACAGCGGAAGAGTATTGCAGTTGGTGGAGCAGGGCATCGCGACGCTCGAAGCGGCCTCAGCGACGGCGGCACAATCAAAGGTTACAGTACCTGCCCGCCGACAAATTCACATTACGATGAAGTTTTTATTGCGATGAGCTGCTCCCCCCCCTTTTGGGGTCCAGACTGGCGCCGTGGAAAGCTTTGGCGATATCCAATGCGCAGATGTTTGGGCAGTGGCAGAGTGGACGCATTTTTACCGAGTCAAGCCATGGAGGCATGGAGAAGTTCATCTCTGCGCGAGGGCCCAACTTCATGGGCTTCAGATTTCAATCTCTCAGTGCGGCAACGGAGTGGTTTGTTCAACTTCATGGGCTGCAGTACTGCGGGGCGCATCTCGTCGTTTCAGTGGAATCTGCGCAAGCAGCATGTCTGGCGCACGATGGCGTCGTGACGCTTGGCCACTGCGAGAGGTGCCCCCATTTTATGTCTTGGCAGCTTCAGTGCTCGGGGGCGCCTCTCGCCGTCTCAGTGGAGCCTGCGAAAACAGCATTTCTGGCGCACGATGGTGTCGCGACGCTTGGCCACTGCGAGAGACGCCCCCAACCTGATGGATTCCGAATGGGGAGCCTCTCGTCGTCACAGTGGAGTCTGCGAAGGCAGCGATTCTGGCGCACGACGGCGTCGTGACGCTCGGCCACTGCGAGAGCCCCCCCCCCCCCATTTTATTTCAAACCTGTCCTCCGAGCAGCTGTGCGCCATTCGAGGCATTGGTGATATCTGCTATGGGGCCCCGATCTTCACTCCCGACGGCATGGACATGTAGGCGGGAACGCCCGGGATACGGGTGATGAAGAAGGGAGTCGGAATTCGTAATTCGATCAGGCCTGTCACTTGTTGTGGAGCACCCTTCTCCCTCGCGCCTGCCCCCCCCCTGTGCCTGTTCTCTCCTCCACCATTGATTCTAATTTGAGGCCCTCTCAGATCGGCGGTGCGTCGTGGCTCTCGGGCCCCCCGCCAACGAGTCGCTACGAATCGCCTGTGGGCCCGCATCCCCAACGTTCGGGGCCAGTTGATCCTCCTGTAGGCCGTCGGGGCGAAGTGACACAAGCTGAAACCCAAAGGGTTTTAGGCCCTGTCTTTTTTGTTTCCCAGCTTCTGTGGACGCCCCCAGAGACCCATTCCCAGTCCCACCATGCCTCCTGTCTACGGACTCGGTCGTCTGTCGGATAACGCGTCTTCCTCATCCCCGTTGTTCGGGCTTCCCGGCGGCGTGCTCGTCTCTGATGCGGGGGGCAAACGCGACGCTCGCGGCTAACCCCGGGCCCATTCGGGGTGCCCCGGGAAGGGAGTTATTCTTTGGTTTCTGTGGCTGGGCTGGCTGGGTGGTGCGCGAGTCGACCATCCTCATGTGAGCGACGAGGAAGACTGGGGCCGTCTTCGCCGACACCCGCACGCAAGACGCCGGCGCGAGGCCGCGCGTACGCGCCCATGTTGCCAGGGTGGCCCGATCACGCCGGCGGCCCGATGAAGCCGCCGCGTAAGGTCACTGCGTCCTCTTCTCGTCGCCCGGATGCGTCTGCGATGGCATGGGGGGCGGAGAGTGCACGGCCCCCTTGCGTGCGCGGGCGGGCGTCGGGGCCTCGGCTCTTGCCTCTGCCTGGGGGGGCCTCGGCTCCACGTGCGTCGCTCGTGTCTCCGCGTGCGTCGGGCTCTGTGCGGCATGTGTGCGGCGCTGGTGGCTGTTGCCAAATTGACCCCAAGCGCGCTTTGGCCCGATGCGAGTTGAAACGCATGTGGGTTGACCGCATGGCCGCATTTCGCCATGCCAGCGAGGATGGTACAAGTGTTCTATCCGACCAGCTCTGCTGCCTCTTGTCCGAATTTATTGGCAAACGTGGACTCTGTGGGTTTTTGTCATGAGACCCCACATGGCTTTGCACTGAGACTCGTCTTGCCAAGCCGCTGACCATGGCGGCGTGAGCTTTCCCCGAGCGAGACGCTGCTGAAAACGCTCTATCGAGTATCACCGTCTGGTTTTGGCATCCGAAATAACTTGCTGAAAATCCTCTTGGGCGGCCGATCTGGCCATCTCTCACGCAGCGTAAGAATGTCTGCCAGGCGCTTCAGCGCCTGGTCGGACAATGCGTCTCCACGCGCGGCGCCAGCCTGGATTGGCCCGAAGTTGCACGCAAAGAATGGGGGCGCATCGCAGCCCGAACCCGCTCTGCGTCCAGCCCGGGAAGCTCAGGCGAGCGTTCAGCCCCCATTGGGGGCTGGGGCGGCCCAAGGCCATGACGTTGCCAGGCCTTGTCCCAGTCGTCGTGCGCGCGACCCGCGAACATTTGCGACTGGGCCCCGGCGGCCCAGCACTGGGCAATAACAGTGGATGCGACCCGGCGCGCGTGCATTCCGCATAATTTCCTGCACATTGTTGCTGGCGTTCGTTTTCAATCCAATGTGTGCCGATGCGCCGTCTAGGCGCGGCTTATTCCTCTCCTGCCCTTCCGCGGCACAGGCCAAGGTCGCTTGCTCCGCCCGCGCCTCGGACATTGAGGCCGCCCCGCTGGCGCCGCCCAGGGGCGCGCCTCCTCGGCCCAGTGCCGCCGCCTTGTCGTCCTACCTGCGCGTCTTGCTCGCGCGCAGTTCTGCATTTGGGATGGAATTCCGCTCCGCCTGGATCGTCGGCCACAGTGCAGACAGGATGCCGGTGTGAACATTCACTTGGAGTTCCAAATCTAATGTAGCAGCGCGCATGCAATTATCTGGCTTGATGTGCTCGCCCCCCCGCGACGCCTCGTCGAAGGCGCGGATCAACCTCGCCAGGTTGCAACGGCGTCATCGCAGGCGGCACAGAGCACAACAGCAGCCTCACGCAGTTTCGCTGGAGCCGCAACCTTGTAGACCCCAAGTGTCGGCACCGCCGCTTGGCCGTCGCCCAGACCAGTGCGCCTGGCCCCCTGCCGCTCGAATTTTTGGACGCCCGCCTTACCAACGTGTCTTGCTGAGGCGCCCCGCCAGCTCGAGATGCGCGCCGCGGACAGTTGCGCCCAGCCATCGTGGAAGAGTCGCCCGCACTCCTCTTGGGCGAGTCACAGACGACTTTGAGCCAACGCTACTGGCACGGGAGCGTTGCGCATCCGACCAGGGGGATGCTTGCGAGCGGCCGCAACTTCCCTTTCACTCGGTCATGGGGCGGGGTGGTCGAGGAATTCACCTGCCTACCAGTTTTGCCCACTCACCTGGCTGTCGTACGGCGGGCCGCGATGATCCTTTGTCGGTCTACTTCTGTCCATGATACGCACACGCTCGTCTGGATGCGAAGCTCCAGCCACCGTTTCAGTTGCGGGCCCAACATTGAGTGCCAGGCCAGGCCAGTCGCGCATCTGCTGGACATCTATCCGGTCATCGCACCGTGGGTTTCGCGAGACCGAGACCACGTGAAGTACTGGGGCCCACCGCGCACAACGGAGGAGGAGGGGGATGAGGATGAGTAAGAGGAGGAAGATGAGGAGGTTCAGGGAGAAGGGAATGAGACAAGAGGTGGGGAGGGAGAGAGGGGGGAGGATGTCTGACGATGCGGAAGGAGGAGGAAGGAGGACATGGAGAAATAATGTGGCATATTCAGACGGGGGAGGAAAGGGGAGAAGGAGGCGGAGGAAAAGGAGGGGAAGGAGGGTTAAGGGGTGGACGAGGGAGGGGTGACAAGTGGAAGGGTGGAGGAGGAGGAGGAGGAGGAGGAGGAGGAGGAGGAGGAGGAGTACGGGTGGGGAGGAGGAGAAGGGGGAAGACGGGTGGAAGTGGGAGAGTGACGGGGAAGGACCGAGGATGCAAGGATAAGTAGGCGGAGTGGCAGCCCTCGGCGGCCGAGATGCTTGCTGGCTCCTAGTGGTCGGTCGGATCCTATGGCGACGACTGGCTCCAGAGGTGAGGTTGGCCATCGAAGCACTGCGCGGCGGCGCCGCGAGACACGTCGTTGTCGTCGTCGTCGTTGTCGTCCTGCTTCTCCTCCTCCTTCTCCGCCTCCTCCTCCTCTTCCTCCTCCTCCTATCCCTCACCGCCCTCATGTGTCTTTCCTTCTCATCCTCCTCGCCTTCCTCCTCCTCCTCCCCTGCCCTCCTCCTCCTCTTCCTCCGTCTCCTCTTCACCCCATTTCACCTCGTCGTGGTCGCCAGCGGCGTCGTCATCGTCCTCGTCCTTCTCAAGCAGGGATCGAGGATTCAAGTTTTTTGGGGCGTTTGGGTTCTATCTGAGTCTGTGGAGTCCCCGAGGGGGACGCTTCTGGCAGCTCCCAAGGGGTTCCGGAGGCCTCCGTGGATCTGGAGGAGAGTCCCGCCCCCTTTCGGATGTTGCTAGAAGTACCCCTGGCCCAAGGTGCCCCCAGGATTCTCCGTGTGGCCCAGACGGCCTCCGGAGCACCCCTCACGAGGCCCAGAGGGCCCCAGGGGCCCCAACATGGAGCGAAAAGCTCGGGGCACCTTGGGCCAGGGGCACTTCTAGCAACACTCGGCCTTGGATGGCCGACCTCTGGAGCAAGAATGTGCGCCATAGCCTGGAGAACTGCTCTCAAGGGGTCCAGCGGACAAGCGGGGAGGGCCTCCTAGGGCTGCACAGCGACCAGCGTGCATGTCCGGGAGCAGTCCGAGAGCGCCGTCGAGGCGCTTGCCAGCGCGGCAGGAGGCGAGGGAGGCAGAAGCAGGCACACGCAGGACGGACGTGGAGCTCCGGGAGGGTACGGAACTTGCTGCGAGCAGCTGGCTTCGGCCCCGCCGCTGAGCGCCTCCCTCGATGCAGTGGTGCTCCTGGCGCCAGGAGGCTCGGGGGAACCGGCTGCGTGGGCTGATGCGCTAATCCCGCCTTTGCTACCCCCCCCCCTTCGTGCGACCCGGGATGTGAAGCGCGGGGGCGGGAGCCCGTGCTTCCGCACGCCCTGATCATTCGTGTGTCTGCTCTTCGGTTTCGGTGTCCTGGAGGTCTGCGTCGGGCCCCGTGGCCGTCGAGTCATGGCCCACGAGGGGAAGCCGGTGCCCGGGAAGCGGGAGCAGGCGCGTGTAGCAACATCCCGACGTCGTGTTTTGGAAGGACAGGGTGGCTGGGGGAGGGGATGGAAGAGAAAGGGGGTGGACCATGTTGGGAGGGGAGGGTGCCACAATGCTGTTGACAGGCGCGTGGATTTCCGCGCCGCGGGGAGCCAGTCACCAGCGCGCTACTTGAAGCTGTGGGACAGCGAAGGGTCGGTGCACAGGCAAAACTCCAATTATGAGCCACGCAGGAGTGATGAGTGCCAGAACCATGGCTATTTCCGGCATCAGCCAGCAGTGTGAAGTTGACATCATTCACGCTTCGCGTATCCCGGCCAGCCCATCCAGAGACCCTGATTTTGAGAGCTGACTGGAAAAGGGACGAAGAGACGCATCTAGTGAAACAAAGCGAACAACCAGGGTGAACAGATCTCTAGGGCTCTTTTGAGGGGTCTTGGAGTTCTCTTGGAGCTCTTTTGGGGGATCTCGGGGCGCTCTTGGGGCTCTTTTGGCGCCCTCTTGGAGCTCTCTTGGGACTCTCTTGGGGGCCTCTTGGGAGCCCTGGACGGCCTCTTGGGGCTGTCGTGGAGGGTGTCGGTGAAAATAGGGGGGTACTAACGTTTAGTCCCCCCTTCTTGGCCATCAACATAGCATCGTGGGACGCTCTTGGCCCCCTGTTGGGGTGCTCTTGGGCGGTCTTGGGGCCGTCATGGGGGCATCTCGGGCCCCTTCTGGAGCTCCCTTGGGTCATCTTGGGGCCACCTTGACGCCTCAAACACTCATCGGAAGCGAATAGGCGAGAAGGCAAAAGTCATTGATTTTCCCCAAGTCTTTGAAGCAGTTTGGCTTCTCAGGGAGTTCCTGAGGAGTCTTTGAGGGCACCTGGGACCATTTTGTTGCCGTCTTGCGGCGTTTTGGAGGCATGGTGGAGGTCATGTTGAGCGATCTTGCGTTATCTGGAGCCCTTTTAGATGCAATTTTGGAACATCGCCCTCTTGGAGCCATCTAGAGCGACAAACGGGCCCTCAGACGACTCGCATCCCCCCCGTCCAGACCCCTGGGAGGGGAGGGGCGGGGTACCCCTCTCCGAAGGGAAGAGGGGTTTTGAAAGAGGAGCGACAAATATTTCGCTAGACCACCTACGCCCAGATGGCTGGTGAGATTTCTGAAACGCGAGACGGAGCACGTGTGCGATCGTAGTCCAGATGCTTGCACAGGGCGGCAGCGGTACGCCATGCCAGTTCAGAACAATTCTGGGCGGGGCGAACCCCTGCCCCAACTTTCTGTGGCGCAACGACCTCGTTCTCTGAAGCGCGATTCGTTTTTACCCTTCCGGGATCGTGTGAGCGATCCAGATAACAGATAATGTCTTCCAATGGCAATCGCATGCGCGACTGCATGCACGATGCAAATGTCGATGATCTTGGCTTGCTCTCTCGCCGGTGCTTGAGTTTCCTGCCGTCGGTGGTTCCAAGCGCATTCGCAGTGCAAAGGGAGCGTCAACCGCGGGAAGACCATTGTTCCCTCTCTTCTCTCTCTCTTTCGCCCTATCCCTCAGCCCCTGTTGGTGCGATAGCGGCTGCTGCAGCTCTGCCTCCTGTTGTTGCTGGTGGCCCCTCATCCTCCTTTTTGTCCGGGAGGAGGAGCAAGAATGAGGAGGAGGAGGAGGAGGAGGAGGAGGGCGAGCATAAGAAGGGGCACGAAGGGGAGGAGAAACTAGATGAGGGGACAGAAGGAGAAAGAGGGGGAGGCGGAGGATGAGGAGGAGCCTGGCGTATGATACTGGAGGCCACGATATGTTGTCAAGCTGACGTGGGCGGACCAGTCTCGCCCACTGCTGCCTGCCTGCTGGCCAGAGTCAGTCCTCTCCTCCGTGTGCCCAGGAGGATGGCTATTTATTATTTCTATTTCTGTTACTATTATTATTATTATCATCATTACTAGTAGTATCATTTTTATTATTATTATTGTTAGTATTATTATTATTGCTATTATTATTATTATTATTATTAATATTATTATTATTATGAGAGGGAGGAGGAGGAGGAGGACGACGAGGAGGAGGAGGGCAGGGAAGGGGAGGATGAGTTACAGGGTGAGGACGAGGATGAGGAGGAGGAGGAGGACGAGGAGGAGGAGGAGGAGAAGGAGGTGTGGCAGGAAAGAGACCAGGGACAGCATCAAGAGGAGGAGGAGGAGGAGGAGGAGGAGGATGAGGACGCAGAGCAAGGGGATGGGGGGGACGAGGGGGAGCAGCAGGGGCAGGCAGAGGCGGGTCTGGGGCAGTCGGGCTTTGACGGCCGTGTAGGCCCCGGGGCGCACAGGCGCACACGCGTGAGACCCGCGGCGCGCCGAGCGCTGCCGCAGAGCCGCGGCCCGTCGTCGAGGCCTGTCGTCGCGCGCGGCGGGCGCCTCCTCTGCGCTTCAGCGGCACGCGGCGCCGCTGCCGCGGGTCCTCCTCCACGGGGCTCGGTGGCTTGCCGATGTCGCCGAGCGCGCTCCTTTTCTCGCAAAATGCCCACTCGCAGACGTCCGAGAAAAAAACGCATGCCTTCCTTGGCGGATCGGGCCCGAGCCAAGGCCTCCCGAGCGGGGTCGGAGCACATGCGACTGGAGGGTTGGACTCCCCTGCAAATGCGTGCGGCCGCAGAACCAGGGCCCCAGCGGTGCAGATGAAGGCAAACTGTTGCCAACAGTTTGCAAAACCCAGCACCGTCAAAAACATAATGGCCCAATCTGTGTATTTCAAGTTCGTATGCTCGATTTTGCCAACAGCGCGATCGTCACCTGGTGGCTGAACGTACTTGCAATGGTTGGCCCGCGCTTGAGATGCATCCCCGAAGTACCAGGAGGCCCCCCGAGATCTCCGGAGGGCCCCCCCCCGCGGGAGCTCCCCGGAGGCCTGCGGAGGCCCACAGGGCGGGGAACGTCCAGGAGACCCGACTCTCGAGCCTCCGTCCCCATATTTCTTCTTTTCCTCCTTTTCCTCATCCTCCTCCCCATCCTCCTCCTCCTCTTCCTCCTCCTCCTCCTCCTCCTGCTCCTCCTTCTCTCCTCCTCTTGCTCCTGCTCATCCTCCTGCTCCTCTCCTTTTCCTCCGCCTGCTCCTCCTCCTCCTCCTGCTTCTCCTGCTCATCCTCGTGCTTCTGTTGCTGCTCCTCCTCATCCTCCTCTCCCTCACCTCGTCCAGGAGCCTCGTCCTGGGCCTCTCACGGAGTTCCCCCGTGAGTCCCCTGGAGGCCTCCTGAGGCCTGCGGAGGCCTCCGTGGGGCCTCCCCGTGGAGGTTTCTGGCTGCTCCCAGGAGCACAGGGAGGGCCAGAGGCGTCCGAAGACCCCGGACCTCGAGACTCGACCCTCCTCGATATTGGGCCTCAAAGTCGACCCAGCCTCCTCCTGCTGTCGTATCACTCCTAGCGCTCCTCCTGCCTGCTCCCCTGGAGGACCCCCTCCTGGAGGACCCCCCCCTGCTCGGGCCCCCTGGCCCCCACAAGCCCGGCACAGCTGCCTGTGCGAGGGCCACCTGTGGGCCAGGGCCCTCCGCGAAACTGTTGTTGACAGATTCGGGCATTATGTTTTTCATGGTGGCGCCCAGAACGGCCTTCCATATACAGATTGCCAATTAATCTGTATACAGGGGGACCCACTCATATACAGATTGCCAATCAATCTGTAGATAGGGGGGACCAGGGTCATATACAGATTGCCAACCAATCTGTAGATGGGGGGGGCCAGGGTCATATACAGATTCCTTAATTTTGTGGATGGGGACCACCGTTGCCAACGAGTGCCCTTCATCTGTAGATGGAGCCTTTGGCCGCCAAGGGGGTAATGGAGGTGCGGGGGGCGGGGGGGGGGGCGGGGGAGAAGGATAACGGAGGAGGGGGGAGGCGACCGGAGGGAAGGTGGAGGAGGGGGGAAACACAGAAACTGAAGAGGCATATAAAAAGCGCACAGGTGAATGAGAATAACGAGCGGGGCGGGGAAGAGGTCGGGGAGGGGAGGGGAGGAGGGAGGGATGAGGGGAGGATGGAGGGGAGGGATGGGAGGTATGAGGGCGGGGGGGGAGGGATGATGGAGGGGACGTAGGGATGAGGGGGGAGGAGGGGTGGGATGAGGGGAGGAGGGAAGAATGGGGGAAGGAGGGATGGGAGGGGAGGGGTGAGGGAAGGAGGAATGAGGGGAGGTTGGGAGGGATGGGGGGATGTAGGATTGAGGGCTGAACACGGGACGAGAGGAGGAGGAGAGGGGGGGAGGGAGGAGGGAGGGGAGGTAGGGGCGGCGAGGTACGAGAGACCAGGGGGGAGGGGAGGGCAGGATGAGGGCAATGATGATGATGGCGGTGATAAGGATGAGGATGGGGAGGGAGATGAGATGAGGAGGCCGGGGGAGGATGAGCACAAGGGATGAGGCAGAGGAGACCGGATTCGGATGGGTAGGAGGACGAGGGAGACCTGAAACGGTGACGAGAGCGAGGACAGGGAGGAGGGGGCCAGGGGCAGCAGCAGCGTCGGGAGGGATGCAGAAGGACGGATAGGCGGAGGACGGGAGGAGGAGCAGAACTTGGGGAGGGCAAGCACGATGGAGGGCATGGAAGACAAGGGGAGGATTGGAGGGGAAAGAGACTAGGAAATGAGGGGATGGACGGGGGGGCGAGTAGTGCGCAGGATGATGTTCTGAGAGCGGGAGAGGAGCCTGATATCTTTACATATCCCAGCTCTCATCCCGCAGAGAGCGGTCATATGCCCGAGCCAGATGCAGCACGCTGCGCGTGCCGGCAAATAGGCTTGGGCAGTGCAGACAGCGCGGAAGCGCCGCGCGCACGGTTCGCACATTTTTACAATCTTCACGGGCAGCTGTCGGCCAACACTCTCGCTGAATCTGTTTTTGGCCGTGGGGGGTTTGTGGAAATTGTTGGGAGCAGTTCCTGCCAATCTGCTCTTCGCGTCGCCCCTTTCGGGGCACTCTGCGGCTACAGCCCCCGTGGGGCGCCCAGCCCGAGGGTGGCACCGCATCGGCGATGCGGCGCGATGGGGGGCCCGAGCTTCTCCACCCCGACGTCGGAGATGTATCGCCGACGTCGCCGGCGCAACGCCTATGCATCGGCTACGCATCGGGGGTGTGGCGAGATCTTCCGACTGCATCTGCTTGACCTCCGATTGGGAGACGTCAGCATAGGGACGAGAGGTCTCGGGTACTGCAAGTTCAATGCGGGGCTCATTCCTATCTTGATGGCGTCATCCTTCGGGGCACCATTTGCGAACAGCGCGTGCTTACTTATCCAGCTGCCTGCGGCAAGTCCGCCAGCGTGCCAGCTCAGCAACATGGGTGGCGACTGTTCGAATGAGCACGGAGGCCGTCACGTGTGACACCTCGTGTTTCTGGGCCTGGGAGAGCAGTGATTTGGATGATCAGGAATCTGAGGACGGTGGGCATGATAAGGAGGAGGATGAAGAGGAAAGCAGTCACATGTGACACTTTCCGTCTTCACTATTTGATGCGCCTCCATGGAACTCGTTTCGGCCGTTTTGGAGTTGTCTTGGCCTCCTGTGAGGCGATCTTGGGGGTCCTCTGGGGTCTCTTGGGCCGTTTTCGGGCCCTCTCACGTAGTCTTGGGGCTCTCGTGGGCCGTCTTGGAGACCTCTTGGCCGTATGGCTGGTGCCTGTGGGCTGTCTGGCGGCGTTTTGGGCCGTCGAAGTGCCCTCTCAGGCAGTTTTGTGTCCCATGGGAGGCCCTCTTGGGTCGTCTTGGGGCTGCGTTCGGTGCGTCTTGGGCCATCGTAGGGTCCCAGTCGGCCAGGCGGGCAGGCGCCACTTGGCCCAAAGCGGCTTCGGAAAGGATAGGAGAGGTTGAGGTCTCGGGATTTGGAAGTTGTGTGGGGGGAACCTACTTTTGTGGGGGGCGGAGGGAATTTGGGGTCTGGGGATTGGTGAAGTGGGGGGTGCGAGGTGGAGGGTGGGTGGGTGGGGGTCAGGATTTCTAGATTTTGAGATTTGGGATTTCCGCGATTTTGAATTTTGGGATTTCGGGGAATTTCAGCCGCATAATTGATATTGATATTGGTATTGCTTTGATATGGGAATTGCAGCCCAATATCAAGGCAAATCCTGCCGTGTTTTGCGGCTTGTTGTTATCAGATATCACCACAGTAGTTGAATATCGGACTAACTCGTTTGTGCTACTTGGTGTTTGATGTTGGTAGTTGATATTTCGACGATGCAGGCTTCACTTTTTTAACTGGATGCTTTGGGCTTGCAATTCTAACAACCCCAACCTGTCAGGTGGGAAATCACGTCTGAAGCCCTGGGACCCGTCTGTCTGCGGCACTTCTCGAGCCGGACCCATTCTTGGTGGCCCCGAGGTCTTAGATTTGGGCGCTGGCGCCCCGTGCGGGAACACCGCAACGCCCAGATCACAGGGCCAGCCGCTCGTTTCGTGAGCCTCGAGCCTCGGCCTGGGAAGGCTCCCTGATGCGCGCGCGCGGCCCCCCGCGGCAGGCCCAGCTGGCCTCAACAGGCCTCCGAGGAGTCCGCGGTGGCCTCACCTTCCCAGCCCTGGGCCGCGGAGAGCCCCAGTGGCGCCGCCAGGAGCGCCGCCGGAGGCGGTGCCAGGTTGTTGAGACCGCCGCGGGCTACTCGGGGAGGCCGTGGTGGCCAACTGGGAATACTCGGGAAGACTTCTGAGGCCAGCTGGGACAACCCTGGAGGGCTGTGTGTGCGTGCGTGCGCAACCTGAGCCGCCCGCTCCCCCCTTTTGCATGGTGACACAATTCGCTCCAACGGAACCCCCGTTCATGCCTTTCTCGCCAGCGCAGACACCCTTTGCCTAGCCCTCGACGCTAAAAAAGTGTGTGCGCAACCCGTCGCCGAGCCCTCACCACCTCGGTCCTCGAATCCTTGGCAGCCGCCGAGGCCCGGGCACCCCGCGGCCACCCCCGGGGCCCCGCAGGACGAGGACGCAGCACTGCCCAGCGGCGTGCTGCCGCACTTCCGGAGCATCGAGGCGCGGCCCAGGTCGCGATGTTCGAGCAGTGGCGAGGCGTTTTGGCTGGCCTATAGGCCCACCAAAGAATGTTATAAGAACCTCTTGCGGTCTGCAAGGAATGTTCTTAGAAACTGGTGCAGCTGAACTTGTCTTGTTTCAGCTCACCGTGTTTATGGTATGAGAACCATGCTCTTCTTCTTGGAACATCTTTCGGTTCTAGGAGCATCTCGCGGTAGGCTCATAGGAATGCCGGGACGGTCGGCCCCTGCTCAAGATGTCATGCCCCTCCTTCTCTTGTTGTCAGGGGTAAACGTCGGAGGAGGGCGAGCTGAGACATAAGTGGTTGGCCTTCGGGGGGCCCTCTCGCCACATGGCAACCTGGTGCGTCTGGGCTCCCGGGAGGGGTCCCGGGACCGAGTTGGAGTCTCATCTCGCTCTGCCCTGAGACAGGGGGGTGTCCGGTGTCCAGCCGAGCCGAGGCGGGGACGTATTTTGAGCGAATGTGCCAAGCACAGTTCCTGGAACCTCGGCGCCGCGAGTCAACATGACTGTTGCA